TGCTACCTCTTCTGGGCTCAGCTGGTTTCGGATTTGCTCCAGTCGATCGCTGCAGCTAAGGCTGTCCCACTCGGCGGCGAGGCGAGGATCAAGTTTAGTACCGAATACGTATTTCCACTTCTCTCTGAGGTCATTGCCATCCAAGTTGCAAAATATCCGAAAAACTCTGCCGCAAAGGTCGGCCTAGTGCGTAAACCGACTGATGTTAATGTTTGTTCTACAAGATCAACGAATCTGGAAGAAATACGGACCTCCTCTTCATGAGAAATGTTCCTCTGTTGGTCTCCGGTAGTCAACGTGCAGTAGTCCTCTTTGCCTCCGGGGACTTGAGTCACAATCCAGTCGTCCTGAAGTCCATAGTGGGAGACTTCGCGGTAGATATGCGGCATGTGCCAGTGGATCCAGGTCCCTCCCATCTCGTAGTTGAATCCATTGATAGTCGAATGCCACGTCCGGCCTCCGAGCCGGTCACGAGCCTCAACAAGCAGTGTCTTCTTCCCTGTTGATTTGATCTTGTTAGCGGATAAGGAAAATTTCATGACTAACATTTGAGACACGCACCTTGTGTGGACAGGTCACGGGAGGCAACTAAGCCTGCATATCCCGCGCCAACCACAATAACATCGTAAATCTCATCCTTGGAGGATGCAACGAATGTTGGAGGGTCGACCGCTCCTATAGTTGGTAGCCCATGGCGAACCCCTGCGCTAGGGGTCCAGGTAAAGCCTTCGCTTGTGTATACCATTTTGCTTTCTATTCTCTTAAATCAAAGTAAACAATTAGAAGAACTTGAATATAGAACCACGCTTCTCTCTCATACTTTTCTCTATGTGATGCAATTTGATTTATTATTAATACAATGTCGGTCTGTTTGAGGCCTGTTCAAGTCTAGGCCAAGCGGAATAATTGGGTGGAAAATTAGAGCCAATCAGGGAGCCCGGCCCGGTCCAGGAAGAACAACGAGAGGTTATCATGATAGTCGGCTAATGCATTCAGTAGCTCCGCATGAATGGGAATTAGCTCCCCTGCCCCTTTCTTCTCCCCATTCACTTCCGGAGGGGCAAATTGACCGTCCAGCCGGCGGCAAATCGCTCCCGAGACAGGTTGATGCCCGTCTCATGGATCGTCCACGTACGCTTATTAGAAATGCCTACCCTAGAGCAACAATGGATGGAGGTCGTTGTTATCAAGCAGAGTATGTTGTCTTAAATCTAGATATTATTAACTACTAAATTCAGCTATGTGAAAAGAAACTTGTGTTTTACCTAATCTATTTCATTTAATAAGGTAATCTTCTATTTCCTGACCTTCCCCTAAGACAAAAAGTCTTAATACATTGCATAATTATCGACGCGCCTCGATCACTTGGCCACTACACTCGCCAAATCCTACAAGAGCTCCCTCCTCGCCAGAAACCCCATAAATCGTAATTGTGTCTCCATCCTCCAAAAACTTCCTCTCCTCTCCTCCGTTGAGTTTTATGAGCTTCTTTCCTCCACCATTCTGCTCAAGCAAACTGCCACGAGACGAATCCGTTGTGCCGCTGATCGTCCCGCTTCCTAGAAGGTCACCAGGGCGCATCGGGCACCCCGAAAATGTGTGATGTGCGATCATTTGAGGGAATGACCAAATAAGGTTCTTGCTACTTGTCTCTGTGATGGTCGTGGTGATGCCTTTCTGGGTTGTCAGATCAACCTTTAGGCGAATATCGTATTGGTTCAATTCCCGACTTTCCTTGAGGTACGTAGCAAAGTCCGTATCATTTGCAATCCCGGACGTGGCAAACGGCTCAAGTGCATCGGGTAGGACGACCCATGGGCTGATGGAAGTGGCAAAATTCTTTGCATTAAATGGCCCAAGGGGGACGTACTCCCAGGTTTGGATATCCCGGGCTGACCAGTCGTTCATCAGAACGTAGTCAAATATACTTTGCTCGGCTTCGTCAACAGGCACAGGTTCGCCGATTGGGTTTGATTTACAGATAAATGCAGCAAGTTCGAGCTCGATATCCAGGCGCCGGCAAGGGGCAACCACTGGCGCTTGAGGCACGACGCTTGGAGGCGCGGTGAGAATTTGGCCCCAAGGTCGCCGGACCGGAGTACCAGAGACTACTACCGAAGACGCTCGGCTGTGATAAGCGACCGGCAGATGCTTGTAGTTGGGCTGCAAAGCATTTTCAGGCCCTCGGAATAATGAGCCAACCGTGAAAGCATGGTTGATTCCAGCGAAGAAGTCGGTGTAATCCCCAATCTCCAGAGGTAGATGCGTGGTTGCCTCTGTAGCAAGAATAAGTACCTTGCTCTTAAGGTCACTGTTGTCTCGTAGGATCTGAGGATAAGAGCCGTCTTCAGAAAATACTTGCTGTAGGTACGACCGCACTTGAGAGTGAACGGGGCGCCCGAGAGCCGCGAATGCGTTCAGTCGAGGCTGCGAGAAAACACCAATATGAGGCTTGAGTACTGCCAGGGGCGAAAACCCGCCGCCCTCAGCAAAAGCTTGAAGATCAATCACATGGGCTCCGATGATGGATGCCGGGCGAGGAGTAGGTAGCGCCTTGGTGGAAATGATGCCAAAAGGGATGTTGGCTAGGGAGAAATGGGACGAACCCGCGATCGGGAGCCAGGATTTAGGAGCCATAATGATACGATTTTCAGGATGAGAATGCAGCTTTCCGAAGTAACATGTGACTTTCTTGAATTCATGGTCAAGATGCTTGCTGTTCTTGTATATTGCCGCAGGAGGCATAACAGGCGTGGAGTCTCGCCAATGAACGATTTATCCGCCTTCAACCAGTGCCAATTTTCCCACCGCAGCACCAAGTTGGGCGATGGAATCTGTTTTCAGCGAGCCAAGCCTCGAAGAACCCGACCTTGAGTCAATTAGTTGACATGATAGAAGTTCTCTGATGACCGAAAGTTACATTATAATAGTGCACCCGGGATTGAAGATAGCAATCCGTTATCTGTCCTCTGTCACTAAGTATCAAGTTGGCCTTTGACCGAAACCAAGCTAGACTAAATACTTTCTGCACTGGTTTGAACAACATGCCTGTCTCAAACTTTTCAACCGTCGAGAAGTACAAATATCTCAACGGCTTCCAATCTTATCATGAGTATGTCTGATAGCTGTTTCCACCTCAAGTCAACGTGCTGAACGGTAAATAGATCAGAAGCAATTCCCAATACACTACCCATTGGTGCAAACTCGCCTCAGAAGCCGAACCATGGTCTCTATGCCGAAAAGCTATCTGGAACTTCGTTCATCGCGCCACGTCATGAGAATCTCCAAAGCTGGCTCTACCGCATTCTCCCCTCTGCAGCCCATCTCCCGTTTGAAAAGCGGGACGAATTTAACATTACGACTTCAATAAGCCAAGTTCCTACACAATTCAGATGGGATCCATTTGACCTTGATGAGAATGCAGACTGGCTTCATGGATTAAAGCAAGTTGGAGGTGTTGGGAGCCCGGCAACCAAAACTGGGCTTGGAATTTACATCTATGCTGCCGGAGCTTCTATGTCTCCGGGGCACGCCTTCTATTCATCTGATGGTGACTTGCTGATTGTTCCGCAAATTGGAGATATGGATATTCAAACCGAGTTGGGTCACATTCTGGTTCGACCCAACGAGATTGTTGTCATCCCTCGAGGTATCAAGTTCCGGGTGGGACTTCCATCCGGGCAAATCCGCGGATATATCCTCGAACTTTATGACGGTCATTTCAAGCTGCCAGAGCTAGGGCCTATCGGGTCCAACGGCCTCGCCAATGCGCGCGACTTTCAAGCTCCCGTTGCCGCTTTCGAGGACATCGAGGAGCCGGGGACATGGACTATCTTCACTAAATACGACAACCAAATATTCTCCGCAGAGCAACCCCATACGCCATTCGATGTGGTCGGGTGGCATGGTGTGTATTATCCATACAAGTACGACCTGGGTCGCTTCAATGTCATTGGAAGCACGAGCTTTGACCACCCAGACCCGAGCATATACACCGTCCTCTCAAATCCAACAGCCGATTTCGTTATCTTCCCTCCTCGGTGGCTCGTGCAGGAGGACACGTTCCGCCCTCCTTGGTACCACCGTAACACCATGTCTGAGTTCATGGGGCTTATCATGGGCGACTATGACGCAAAGGCTGGCGGAGGATTCAAACCGGCCGGAGCAAGTTTGCACAATGTGATGAGCGCACACGGCCCAGATGCGGATACTCATGAGAAAGCAAGTAATGCCGAGTTAAGACCTTTCAAGGTAGGAGAGGGCAGCATGGCGTTCATGTTTGAGAGCCCACTCATGATTGGAGTGACCGAGTGGGCCGTGGAAGAGTGCCGTAAGGTTCAGTGGCAGTACAATTCTGAATCATGGGTTCCGCTCAAACGACATTTCAAGCCCTCAGTAGCATAAGTAGTGAAGATGAAGAGTATATAGGCCAGAAAATGATGTGCTTGTTTGTCGAAGCTTTGGGATATGTCGTTGGGCAACATCACTAGCAAACCTAGCTAAGTCACTAGGTGAAATTGAAAATAATTCAAAGCTCCACCAAAGGCGTCTTATATAACTGGCAATGTAGTAATCACTATGAGATGCCACTATGCTCGGCACAGCCGATGTGTTGCCATAATCAAGCACGGCCCTTTGTGCCCTCTATTTGTGTCAGCCAAGAACAAAGGAGCCCACCCACCCTTGTTTTCATGACACAATGTCTTCGATGTGGGAGAATAATGGCTTACTCTTGAAAAAATTACAGTTAGAGTAGAGAGGCAGAGAACTTCCAAGAAGGTCAAGGTAAAGAGTGGTATTGATCTCATATGAGTGACTTGCTCATAAGACCAGGAAATCATTGATAGCTAGCAACTCAATATTCAGTCCCCAAACAGCCCTACCATCAAATAAGTTGAATATTTGACCTCAGAATAGACGAATGCGTAAGATATAACCAAAAATAGAAAGCCCTAAATTGGTTACGGGTGATATGAATATCAATGCCAGCTTCTAACAGCCTAGCACCTAACCTTGACAGACTTCCTTCCCCTGAGTGTCCAGCATCCGTTGTTATCGAGGTTCCTGCCATTTCCAGAACAAGCCCCGCCAGTATAGGAGACCACTAGGCAGACACGTTCATGAGTAAACTGAGTTCGTAAATAGGACATGTGGAGACTTACGCTTGCAACTTCCCCGGCGATCAATGATGTTAACCGCTTTGGCCGCAGCGCCCAGTGGTATACAAGCTCCATTGCTATAGTCTCGTGCTGGCCCCGGAGCGGTACAGACCTCGTTGTTGTTAAACTTGACCGTAATATCCAGTGGCCCAGCGTTCGAAACCTCCTCGGTATCCGCCATGGCCGATGGCAAGAGGGCAGCGCAAGCGACAAGGGCGTTAGCAGCAAGGTTTGTGAAAAGCATCTTGAATTCTTTCTTAGAAGAGATGAATTAATGAAAAGTAGCTAATTGCGGTCTGGGTGATGGTTTGTGTTGTGAATGGTGCTGATGTGTTTGACTAAGAAAATTCAAGAGGGATACCGTCGTTAATTTATACTTCATCCTGGAGGTCTAATCTCAGATCACTACCCCTTATAGTTGAGTTCAATTTGATCCTTCATGTACAGCAGGCCGCGTCATGAAAGACATCAATTTTCGTATATGTCGTCACCCTCTAAGGTGTTAGCGGAGGGGATTGTTAAGAAGCCCGTGAAAGAGTCCTTTTGTGCGAAAATCATGACTAGTTTCGGAGCAATTCGTTTACTGGAACTGTGATACATGCCAGTGATGCCCCATTCGCTCTTTTGATTGGGGATAACGAGTAAGTGGCTTGGATCTTTGGAGTTGCTAAATCATATGTGACTGAGACACAAGCTTGGCTTGACATCGTGATGTCTATTCTGTTTCACCCTTCTCTCCACCGGGTGATCTAAGCATAATCAACCCGTCTCATTAGGTATGAAGATCGTCACAAAAGAACCCTCACGAGACTCAGCGTGCCTGGTACCAATGTATCCCCATATTCTCAAATCTAATTTCCCCGTATTTAACATCATACATTTGCATAGAGAGAAGCTAGAATACTTGATAAGAACAATGTTTACTTGAAGTTATCTAAATGGGCGTAGTTCATCTGGACCTGTTATTATCTTAAGTGGCGTCAGTGACAAGTTACCACAAGCAATTAAAACTATGCCCACTCATTCATTTTATGGAACAAGGTGCTGAATGTCTCTCCGCAGATCCGCAGATGAGATCATGGCCACGGTTCATGATCTGTTAGATGTGTCCCTAGGTAACCCACAAACAATTCTACTTAAAGTTCAATAAAAGAGTTCTAAAAACCGCCAACTTAAACGACAAGGAATATATGCAGATTGCCTCTCCCATTTAATATTACTTCATGGCTGTTGTTGTTAACTCTCTCTCCAGTTTAGGAATCATGCTTGGAATTTCACCTCGCGCCATACTCTTTAGCTTTAACAATCAATTCCCACGACTATGACGAAACGGTGAATGAGACGTGGGGAATTGAAACCAAAGTATCCGGTCGCTTTGAGAGAAAAACTTCAGAATAACAATATAAATGAACTCAGGATCTTTCAAGTTTTCATTAGATTCATGCAATTTATATTCCTCGAGATTATCACCAATTATGTTGCTTGTAACATCACCATCTTCTGACAAATTCCCGTACCAACAAGTCAGCTCAACTTAACTTAGCCACCTCGAATCTGTAACCTTTCCATAGCTTGGCCTCATAGCCACAAGGCTAGCAAGTTCATTCCGCTCAAGGAAAACATACAGAAATTGTGCAAGCAAAGTTAATGAAGGTGCACTAGGATCCAATGCCCAAGTCATCTGGGCCAATGTCAAAATGCTATGTCCATCTCGATTGGCAACAGGTCCTCTTTCGAATTCCTGCCCTGAACTATCCAACTGAAACATTTACTTCACCTTCCTTTTCGGGTATCAATTTGAGATTCTTGCATACCGTCAGGGATCTCCCCTCTCGGCAGGGCTGAGAGCTATCGTACCGTTATGCAAGGATTTTGTTCAAGAGGCGGGGGGAACATTGGCTGCTCCTCGGGGGCCTAAATCAGCCGGCCCCCTATGTACCTTCGCCCCCAAGTAGACCGTCAGCTCGGCGAAGCTGTGCCCATAATGTAAAATTCGAGGATTGCGCTACTTAGGGGGGTCTAATTCAGTTGTCCTCCTACTGTAAAGTATTTTTGCGTCAGGGAAAAGCTGGAGAAATCCGCCTACAAATTAGCAGCTTTGGACACTAGAGAGGCTTTCTCTCCATATGTCCTCAAGATTAATGCAGCTTTCCAGTTCCAAACCATGAAAGACATGATAAAATACCATGTGCACCGCGCGCATATGACCGCGGTGCATGATCACTGTCCTAATCGAGCTTACATTGAGCTGGAAGTCCCTCAAGATGCAGCAGAGGTTGTTGGCGTTGCCTTCACATCCGTCTCGCGAGATCAAGGTGAAGAAGACACCTTTATCTACCGACGATGCCCCACTGACCCTCGGGAAATAGGATGGGCTGACTCCAAGGAGGTGTCATATACCTGGTTCGTGGCTTCTGTGCGGCGCCCGCTTGGCCGATCCAGTCTGCGCACCATCGGGGTCATGTCCAACGATCCTGGTGTTCCGGAATTCCGCGAGCACACTCGCCGCTGGAGTGCTGAGTCCGGTGCGCGTCGTTGGACTTGGCTACAGGCCCTTCGAAGCGGAGATGTCATCCAGCTCATCCCCAAAGCCAAATATCTAGCCTGGACTAACATCATCAAAGAGTGCCGTATTGAGATTGAGTACAAACCAACCAATGGAATTGTTAGAGTTCCTTCCTTAGCAACTGCTCAAGAATATCACTATAGCAAACCTTTGGACCCCGACGTGAAGGAGATCCACCTCTTGGTCGTGCAACCGGCAGAAAACGTGGACGACGAGTTGGAATTGTCTTGGTTGTCTGCCAGTCTGACCGAAGGTCTGAATTTTAGTGCTCTGTCCTATTGCTGGGGCGATTCTACACAAACCGTAGACGTGAGTATTTCCGTCGCGGATGAGCACGGAACTCATAAAAGGCCTTTTCGTGCTGGGAGGACGGTTGTGGCTGCGATCCGTCGAGTGAGGTCCAAGGAGGAGAGTTTGGTGATATGGATCGACGCCATTTGCGTCAACCAAGCGAACCCCATAGAGCGATCTCAGCAGGTCGCTTTGATGGGGGATATCTACTCCTTTGCGGACAAGGTGCATATCTGGCTGGGGGAGGACCAGAGCATTGTCAACACCGCGCTCCGCCTCGTCCGCAATATTTCCAATTGCAACTCGAGAGCCTGCCCCGGAGGAGATGCATGCCAATGTACCGGTACCCGTCATTCGATTGAGCTCAAAGTGGTGGATGACTTGGTGGAGAGAAGGCAAAAGGCAGGAGAGTTTGTCTCTTGGCAGCGCATGGATGAGGTATTCAACACCTTCCGGCACTCCTTTTCCCCTGATGAGGTGGACTGGGCTGGCGGACAACACGGGATGCACCTGCAAATCATGATGTCGGCACTCTTCTCTCATCCCTGGTTCACCCGTGTTTGGGTCCTGCAGGAAGCGACACTTGCTCGTCAGGCCTTCCTTTACAGCTCGAAGGAGATGGTGACTTGGGATGAAGTCGTCGAGGTAAATGGTTGGATGGGAGATCTTTCCTACCTGCTTCCGACACAGCATATACAGTCCGAAATCCTCATGACCCCGATATGGAAGAACCTCGGAGCCGCCATCAATGGTAGGCAAACTGCAGCGGCACTTTGTGATTATTTGCCCAATATCTTGGATGTTTTCATTGCGGGCCACGATCTTCGTTCTACTGACCCTCGAGACAAGGTCTTTGCGCTTCTGACATTTGGAAAGGAAACGAATGAAATACAAGATCTCGATGAATTGATCAAGCCTGATTATCAAAAGTCGACGGCCCAAGTGTACGCAGATTTCACGAGATGGTGGATCAAAGAGAATCGTTCGTTGGCCATCCTGTCCGCCATCCATAGCCAAACCGCGCGTACCTGGCAGCGGACCAGCTGTGACACGCATGTAAACGTACCGGATCCCAACCAACCAAGTTGGGCAGTTCACGGTGAGGGACGCTCCCGCTGGGCAACTGCCTCGCTACAGAAACTGGGAGGATTTGGCGCCGCCAGTTCGCGAGAAGTTGATGTCACACTTCTCCAATCGTCTGAACCTCTGGTTTTGGATCTTTCCGGGCGTCGAGTCTCTCGTATTTCTGCTCTCGGGCACATACCCATGGAGATATTCAACCCGTACACGATGAACATGAATGAGCGGCCAGATCTTCCCTTTGTTATTGACAAGATCTTGGACCCCTGTGGATACACTGGTTTCTGGAGTCTGAGGACTGTTTTCTCTGAAAAGGAGAACACCAGAGAGCGGGGACAGAGGGAGTACGGCGACCACTTGAATAGCCACTGGGCATACCTACCACAACCTGCTCTCCAGGCATTGTTTCCTTCAGCGCCAGGCGAGGTTCAATATGAGCCGACCCAGAATCTCGCACCGTGCCTCGGGCCGTGCTTTTTTGTAACAGAAGATGGGCAGTGGGGTCTCTGCCCCTGGATGGCAAAGGCTGGGGACGTCGTTGTCCTTCTTGACGGAGGCGATATCCCGTATCTCCTCCGACAGAAGCTAGGCTCGGAAAGTGCCAGCGGGAAGTTTGAGTTTATTGGGGAATGTTTTGTGGAAAGCATCATGCATGGTGAGTATCTGACAAGACCTGGCGTGGAGGAGGAAACAGAGGTGTTCAGTATTGTCTAGATCGTGGAACATCAAATAGCCGACGATTCAGCTGGTCACATGAGTCACGGCAGTCGAGGTCTTCTTAGACTTCCAATCTGTCTGACTGCTTAAACCATGGGTGTCACACAGTGTGCAGCAGGGAGACAACCTTGAGTAAGCCTTTATAAAGCACTTTCAACTTCAATACCATCAACAAAGGCCAAATAGTCTAGTGGTAGGATACATGCTTTGGGTTTCCATCTCAATTAGCATGAGGCCCGTGTTCAATTCACGGTTTGGCCCTGGATCTTTCTTTTTTGGCTGGATGGAAGGCAGGGTTGTTGCCGAATGAGTCACAACAAAAGAGGCTGAGCAAGGTTGAAGGATGAAACCTAAAAGGAAGCCATTCGCGCTGCACTTTAGAAGCATGTGCCCCATCCATCCCAGCTGTTGTCGATTAAATAGATCCGGAGTGGGTGAGGCAACAGGTTCTGGCAAGATAGTTGTCCGTTGCTGGATTGGCTAGTGTTGACTCATACAAAATAAGCCAAGCCCATGTACCACGCAATTTGGCCAAGGCGATCCCATGATACATGACAAATTTCGATGCACCCATTCGAGCAGCTGTCCATAAAGATACTTAGACACGCGAAGGCCCCGACGGAGGCAAGTTGAGCTACCATAATAGCCAACTGCAGCGTCGGCATGCTTCACGTGCTTGTCAACTCCGGGCTAGATGCTAATCAAAAAATTAACGGATCGATAACATCACAGGATGCTATTAAAGGTCTTTGGAGAAAAGCGTACGGTTCGAATTTCTTCAACGGTGGTACATCCATGATTAAGTTGGTCAGGGCTCTAGCGTCTATGATTCGTATCATCAACGATGTTGACCGTAAGGGCCGCACTGCTCTGTGGATTTGGGCAAGAACCTACGACAACATAGACGCAGAAAACATCATGTTGGAGATTACCGCGCATCTGCTTGACAACAACGCCAATCCTTCATTTTGTTACCAAAAAGAGCTCAACCTCATGGTGAGGGTTCTGCTTAAGCGCGGTGCATTTGTGATGGCAAGAGCCAAGGATGACATAACACCTCTTCATTATACTCACCATTTCCGCCTCATAGATGTGGATGGACAGCTGGATGGAGCCCGTCTGCCGGTGGGGCTTAATTATGGCAGAAGCTTTGGCTCGAAGATTGCGAAGAATTGTTATAACTTGAGCAGCCTGGTCGGTTTTAGCTGTCACGCAAAAGACAGTATCTTCATATTTATAATAAACAAAGTTTGCGAATATCAATGCGATAAGCAGATGTCGCAAGGCGTTGCTTCACTTTGAAGAGGATGATAAGACCAGAAAGTTTCCTATATATTGGGGGCATGTCCTGGCGCTTTGCTCTATGTTTGATAGATGGAAAGCGAAATTGTTATTGCAATAAATATTGAGAGCTGCACAGCACGCTACCAGCTTTTCATATGGTTCTTAAACTGCCCTCCCTATGGGTAGGGCATAGATTTTTTTATTGTGTTGGGCAGAAACCTAGTTTTTTCGCTCCTCATATAGCATCTCACTTAATGGCAGTTGGAATTAGATCAATTGTATTGTATTAGGGTATAGGTGATGAACGCTTTCGTTGGGATGTCGTTTGAAACAGAGTACATGCTTTGAATCGACATGAGTTCATGCTCTATCTAACAACCAACCGAATCCAACCTATTATTGCGCACCCAAAGCCAAAAATCGCCCGACTCCTCGTATCGCCCTGGTTGCGCGACCAACCGTGATGCCTGGTGTTTATCCAAGCGGGTATAGAGTGATATGTGCTTCACACAACATCCAACATCATGCATCTTGCCAAAGAAAATAGACTTCGTTATCCACCATGCCGAGAGAGGGCAAAGTGTCGTCTCTTTTGTTAGAGACCATGGTATCGCTTCCGTTGTCGTCTACCCATGTGAGGGGAGGTTGTCTACTGAGCGATCTCGCGAGCCTTCTTGCTTTTGCGCCTTCGCATGCAGCAGCAGACGATGAGGGCAACGATGATGAGGACGAACACGGCAACACCGACCGCGATACCGATGATGGCACCCTTGGCGAGCTTCTTGGCGGTGGAGGATTTCTTGTTGTTATTGTTGCTAGAGCGAGCGTCGAGGAGAGGGCTGCCAAAGGGGTCTTCGAGCGCTGGGAGGGCGAAGGCGTAGGTCTGGGTCACTGCGCTGAGGAGCAGGGCAGCGATGTAGATGAGGTTGGGGCGGAGGGCAGCCATGTTGGATCGTAGGTCGTGCCTGAGTACAGCAATTGAGGCCTTCTCGCGTGGAATTCGTAGTATGATTGTAAAACTGAGAATATAATCGTATGGACAAAAACAAGATAAAGCATGAACAGTCGGACTGCGAGCTTCTCTATTTTATCAACGCGGCCTCCCTTCTTCACTGACCGCGATGAGATGACGACGACAAACAATGTCTGCCAAACAGGAATAGCGGCTGAATATGCAGCTAGTGCAGTCTAAGTGACCGGCTCATAAATGCCGTTCTCTTGGCTCTAGGCTGAGCCACGTAGGACAACCAATACGCACTCATCAATCAGGGCAGGGACGAGCAAGTAGGGTAAGACATTGAAGTCACGACTCACAAATGATCCCCTCGCATGCCAAGCACAAAAAAACGCCCAGCCACTGGTAAAACGCTTGGCTGATGTATGTGTTCAGCGGTTATGCCCTTTGACGCGCGTCCTTCCACCAACACTGATCATCAACGCAAGAGCGCTCTTTCTTTCTCGCCAAAGTGGTAGTTTCCCCCGCGTTCAATCATGGAATGAATGTATACATACGCAGGAGAGTAGCAACAGCCTAGGTAGAAAATGCACAGACACATTCGGCAACTGATTACATCATGGCATACTACCCAGTTTCTGTCCTACTTGGCAGCCAGCCGAGACCTTGGCACCATCAGGTTTTTTGTCCACTTGACCGCAGGCTGCAGGCGCCCATGGTGCATGTTATGATTTCCGTTTGGTTTAATTCAATTGTCTTACACTCAGCTCAGTTCCCTACAGAGGGATACTTCCATGACGAGGTAATCCTTCCCCAAGAGACACGATTCGGGTGAAGCGATTAAGCGCCATGATGATTACTCCTGATCACTGCATGAACAAGGAAATGAAGGGGAGCGGAATGGGTTGCGTTGCAGCATGTGGCGTAACTGATTCACCCACCATCGCGTACACCGCTGATGGTCCAGAGTCTAGACCCGCGTGTCACACTTCGGCCCGCGCCACAGTGACAGGGGCAGTGCACCAAGGTCACAGGAAGAGAATGACCGTGGCTCCAGCCATTTGCTCATTAATGTATCTACGTGTGCGTGGGATCGCGTGGTTGCTCGTGCACCCAGACGCCCCTGGCCGTTCCTTGTGGCATCCAATCACCCATTGATTCAGCATCCCGGAGAATATGACCAGCCAAGCCCAAGCCGTGATACGACCCAAGTTGAAACTCGGTATATCTTAGTCATGTCGTCATAAAAGTGTACCTGGACGGGTAAGGACAAACTCTGTTCCATGAAATGCTCCGTCTTACGCAGCGACATGCATGTTCGCGCACCACATCCTTGTTCGTATCACGCGAGAGTATTTTGCTAGGTCAAAGTTTCAGTAGTAAACATCAGTCCTGACGCCAGTTTCGGCGGAACTTATTATTGACAGATAAATTAGACCGAAAGATCGACTCCCACTAGCTGCCAGGCACAGGCGCCTTTGGAGCTAGCTAGGAAAATAACACAGTAGTTCCCATACTTCTAAGGATTTGGTGTCTGTGAAGCAAACACGTTGAGGTTAGCATCATCGAGCTTCATGTCTAGAGTTGAACATACATGGCTGTGTTCTTTCTATCGATGATGTAATGATCTATCGATATTTAAAGAATATCAATGCAAGTCTCGAGAAATGGAATACTATGCTGAAAAAGTCTACTCCACGCTCTACTTCCACCATGATTCGTTGTGGTGCAAGGTCCAGGTTAGCATCACCTTGCGATGATGGATGGCGGGCTATTTCCAAAACACAGAGCCACGACGTCAGGTTTTAGCTTCGGCTTCGGTTGGGAACAATATTTGTCGCATAGGATGACAGGGTTCTTGGGCTACATGACAGGGTTCTTGGGTCGTCTAGAAGCCTGACAAGGCATTGTATCCCAGCAAGAGGCGCTGCAACGGCTTTCTCAACGCTCTTTCTTGTCTCAGAACGTGCTTCATTTCGGCCCGTTTGAGCCGTCAGCGGATGGTGTGTACGCAGGCGGAGGCTCTTGAGGCATCTCAGTGGATGCTGATCCAGGTGAAGGCCCTGGCACGGAATGAACAGTTTTTTCTGTTCGTTGGGACCGACAGCATGAACGCCAGATGTTGATTAATATGGCTAGTACAATTACCGAAGAGATAACGACGGCAATTATGGTCCCTATACCACATAAACAATCTCTTTTGGGCCATGAATCCCGCTTCGACAGGTCAGAGATGGTACAGGTGAGAGAGTGTGGCAGTGCAGAAACGGTTGTGGACTGCCGTAGGAGCAGAAAGAGAAGGGCTGGATGCTTCTGAAAATCCATGGTGCGTTCCAAAGGATCAATAAAACAAGGTAGCTTAATCGTTAGGGAGAAGAATAATCAACCCTCAATCAAGGCTCTTTTCTTTTTCCATGGCGGCAACCTGTCCCTTTAAATCAATCTTCCACTGTGCTTCATTTGGTGCTCCTTGGTTTACTGATGCTGCCTGCCTAATAAAAGTCATGGCTGAGCTGTCGAAGCTGCCTAGGAGTCTCCACAAGGGACCAACAGGACAAAAATCAGCCTCAAAAATCCTACCGAAGTGCCCAAGTATTGAGCGTATTCCGTGGTATATTCCTGTTTAGGGAGGGAATCAGACCACAGCCGCAGCCCTGTCATCGTCAATGATGTCACGTCACCATGTCACATGGCCATCTGATATATGCATGCTCCCTGGAGTGCAATTCTGTGGAATTCGATGCGTTGGTCCAAAGGTCTATGGAGAGACCATCGACTAGGTTGTCCAGCTGTGAGATTTGCTTAAACTTCACCGGCCGGTGCGCTAGTAGAAAAGAATCAAAGGAGGGTGGATGAAGATGAAGAATATGACATCTCTACACTGCGTGCGGCGTCCCCATGAGGACTGTCAGCCCAGACTACTAGCGCGACATATTTTTGCTTCAATTCGCCGCAGTGCACTTGTGAACTTCAAGGGCCGCTTCCTTTTACCATGTTCATGATGGGATTATAGAACGAACACAAGTTCTATCGAGGGCACTATTGCTTTTCTCTGAAATGCCATCATTGCCACCCTTACATTCCATATGATTGTTGACTTACCAGCTAAGAGTATCCCCCCGGTAGTGTTATCGGCTATAGTAATAATCTCAAATCACAACTAACTACTAGTAATCTGAGGATTCATAGTAAAAGAGAGCCATTCCTTACAATAATTCAGGAGAATTAGAGTTAGGCTTAATTCTAGTTTAAACGTAATATTAATCGAGATATGAATTGGTTTCAAGAAACTGGAGCGCTAACAAGACCAGATAAACATTGTCTTATACGTCGTGTTGAAGCCTATGGGATCACGCCGCCGTGTTCTGGTTTCGGTTTATGTAAACCACCTGGTGCATAGACATCCGGTGAAGATGTTCACATACTGCTCTCGCCGGAATTAGCAGGCTGGCATAAGTAAGCTGAGCATTAGGTGGAGGATCTGTTGTAGCTTCTCGCCGTGGAGGGGATAAACACAGTGAAGCCTTCAGCTACTTCTCAGAAGCGAAATGCCAACGAAGTTAAATCTAAAAGGTGCTCAATGAGCCAGAAAGCCTAGCCTAAAATCCTATGCCTTGGTTTAATCTACGATACCCTGATCATAATCACAATGTGTGCTACGGAGTAATGTCACCTTTAGACCGAGAGTCGAGCAGGACTCATGGGACCGCGGACAAGTGACATCAGAGAGAGACATGGAGATGACTTATAACTCATAATCACAATCCTACGCGCGCGGTTCTGTACCCCGCGGGCCCCGAATATTTGCTTGTAGCGTGCGGGGATACATGCGGTAGGCGAATGGTTCCCGCCTTCAAAGTCCGCACGATTGTAAGGTAGTGTATAAATACAAACCAAGGCTCTAATCCCATCAACACCTAGTCTCCATTGCGAGTCTCTATTTCCAAAAATCCACTTCTATTTAATTGCCATAGGTATCGTTGCAGTAGCAGGTGGTGCCGGCGATTTCAGTCGGACTGTCACTGAGCAGCTGGCTGGGTCTGGAAAGCACACTGTATGTATACTATCCCGCAAGGTACTATCTCCAAATGTCTTTAACTCCTCTAGAAAGCGTTATTCTCTAAAATTAGGTTAAAACAAGGTGATTCGCCCGTTCCTGGCGCTGAGCTCCTCGTCATCGACTATAGCGACGCGGATGCTATTGCGGCAACTCTTGACGCCAAGGCAGTTGATACTGTTATCTCCGCACTGGGACCAGGCGGTGAAGAGGGACAGCTGAAGCTCATTGCCGGGGCGAAGAAGGCTCTACATACCAGCAGATTCATCCCAAGCGAGTATGCAGCGTATACTCCTCCCGAGTAGGTTGACCCTAGGCGTACTGTATATAAGGAGACGTTCATATGCTTTCCCCATTCACTAGCGCCCAGGAGAACGAGTTCACGGCCGAGGTCTTACGCGCAGTAGATGCACTCCGCGAATCAGGTTTGCAGTATACACGCTTTGCGATTGGTATTTTCATGGATTACTTTGGCACTCCCAACACTCCCTCTCACCTCAGCCCTTTTGTCTGGGGTGTCGATATTGCTAAACACCATGCTGCAATACCTGGTTCCGGCAATGAAATCTTATCTATGACATACTCAAAGGATGTCGCTCGGTTCATTGAACGCCTGATCGAGGACGGAAATTGGCCTGAGTATAGCATCATCTCAGGATCCGATACGTCATTCAACCAGATCCTCGCTCTCGCTCAGGAGTATATAGGCAAGTATAGACGTAAGCTACTTAGGGAGAAAAAGAGCCTAATAGCACCATAGATGAAGATTTTAGCGTAACTCATGACACCAAAGAGAAGCTAGAGAAGAATGAAGCTACTTTGCTCGATGATTCAAGCTACGGCGGAATGGATCCGAGGGTGATGATGTCTGTGATTGGATTGCAACTCATTGAGGGAGGACTGGAGTTACCTTCGGAAGGGCGGCTCAACGATCATTATCCTGAGTTCAAGCCTATGACAATTGCCGAGTTGATAGCTAGGGCGTGGAAGAAGGGGTAAATCAGGTGTTGAAGCATGTAGACTGAGGGTTATCAAACTTGCTCATGAATATCACGCTCAGAAATGTACAATTCCGCTCTCTCAATATGGTGGAAAGCATTTCAAGTGATTGGAAGAAAACAGAAGCAGTGTTCTCTCGAAGCAAGCCATGATAAAAAGGGCTTTTCTTTCGCCATAACTGGGGAAAATATATTGAATCGGCCTGAGCCATTTGATCCAATGAGAATGAAGCCATGAAGACAAACCCCCAAGTTCATGTGACTTCTAGATCTCAATCTATTTCTTGACCCTCAGTGTAATTGGCTTCTCTCTTTTATCTACGATGTGGGCTGGTGGTTGTTCTTCTCCAACACAATATTGGAAATTTATATCGGCAATAATTAATATTTGTCCTGTAAATTCCTCAACTGAGCTGGGCCCGAAAGAAACAGAAGTCTCAGAGCACGTGCGAAAAATCAAGTCTGCATTTGCCGCTCTCAATTGGTGGCTTATGTTGCACGTTTAGTTATGATTACTCTATCCTTATCTATTTAATGTAATTAATCTTCGATAAATGATGAGGTTTAAATAGGCATCAGCTGTAGAGATATCGTTATTACTTGCTGCTGGGATTTCCATTGAAGATCAACTTGTTCGTAGTATCACTAGGGATGCCGGTCAAGATATCAGGAGTAGCAAGGTCCTTAAGCCGTGTGCAGAGAGCGTCCGCACCAGGGAAGCCTTCAAGACCGGCGAGGTAAGCAGCCAGGCCGGCAGCGTGGGGGGTAGCCATTGATGTGCCAGAGTTGAGTCCCTGCAAGAACTGTCAGTTTTTCCACCTTGCTTTTTAGGACGTGTTCACTGAGATAAACATACTGTAGCGTTGTTAGGGAGGGTAGAAAGAATGTTAGTACCCGGGGCAAAGACATCGACTCCAGGTCCGTAGTTTGAGAATGTCGAACGGACATCATTTATGTCGGTGGCACCGATCGTGCACACGGTGGGCTCAGCCGCAGGAGATTGGCTGGAGGTATCGCGGTTGGCATTACCAGCAGAGACAGCCAGGAAGACATTGTTAGTAACCAGCGCAGCGGCGGCTGCGTTGAGAGCCTCCGAAGGAGTATCGCGCAGAGACATGTTGGCCACTGAGCCGTTAGGACAGTCACGCGTGGCTGCGTCAGATACAACAAAGTCCAGGCCAGCAATCATAGTGGCAGTCGTGCCGCTACCGTTCCTGTCGAGAACCTTGACTGCGAATAGGGAAGTCTTCTTGGCAACGCCGTATGACTTGGAGCCGATTGTTCCAGCGACATGGGTGCCGTGGCCGAATCCGTCAGTGTCCTCATCATCTCCGAAGTTTACCAACCAAGTGGCTCTGCCTTCAAACTCCTACATATTGTAAGTCATATGTGAGCACGACCCTCAAGGAAATAGGGAAGATGGTGGACCTACAGGGTGGTTGACATCAATTCCAGTATCGATAACGTACGCACAAGTGCCGGATCCGGCGCTCTCGTCATATACATATGTTGTAGAACTATCATGTGCGCGGTGTGAGATGCGAGCAAGACCCCAGGTGGCATTCTCTTGGCTGACAAAGCCATCAACAGTGACAACAGTGTCTGGCTCAATGTAGTCGACCTAAGAAGCTCATGTTAGAAACGAAAAATATTCTCAGACAGTGACAGGAATAACCGACATCTGGGTGGTTGCGAAGACTCTCTAGAGCCTCTAGTGTGAGCTCGCCAGCAAATCCTTTGAATACATGCTCGAATACGTGATCGGCTGATGCGGAAATAGTGCTCAACACACTGTCCACAGATGCACTCGCGCCAGAGTCCTTGAACTTGACGATGTACTTGTTGGCTACCACGTCGGCACCTTCACCTCTGGACAGGATTCGGGCAGGCTCAGATCGCCCGGCGGGGGCCGACAAAACCGACGGAAGGACCGCGAGGAGCAAAGAGGTACGCATCTTGGTAGGCGAAATTGTTGACTGAGTATTAACTTGCCAATTAACGAAGATCACGAAATGGTAGTGTTGAAGAGTTCTTGTCCCTTACGCTACAATGGATATCCAAAGTCTGCAAATTGACACTTTGATCGGGAGACAAGAGTCTTATTTATCATCTCGACGATCCGCCTCAAGAACAGTAGTGGTCATTCATTCGACACTAGTAGGCTCAATCACCTTCCTGACAAGGAAGCTGCCGTGCCGTAACCGGGGGGAAACTAAATACGAATCACACTCAATTCGGAGGGCGTCATGAAAGTGGAGGGATACGCAGATAAGGCAAAGCGACGCATGTCAGTTGGCGAAATGCGGTCAATTATGCCGCCTCTTGTGAGGTTTACGGTTGGGTTTTCCTCAATGGCAACAGCCCCCGGCTACTGGTTGTGAACGCTGCATAAAAAAGGGGCCCTTGTTGCCAATAAAACTAGTTTTCTTATAAAACATATGGCTTGTTGCACTGTATATGGTTCACCTAAAGCTTGGAGACCCTGTCAAGCACGAGAGCTACAATTGGGAATTGGGTAACAACGCGATTCCTGGCCTTTGGGAGAAATAAGCCTTGGGCTCACCTCGCGTGAGAAAGCTCCGTTAAGCGTCCAAGGCTTAGCATACCCATGTCACTGATCGGCGGCATGTAGTATCCAAATTGGCCTCTACCTGTACAGGGACGATGAGCACACTCTTGGCCTTCCTATGCTGACATCCTACGCTAATGTACGGTTCCAAAAGAACCTGCCTAAACCAGTGGCTCTGTTGTGCGGGCCATTGAGCGGTTCAAGGTGCCAAGACCACGGCAGTGCATTGTTAAGCTTGTTAAGCACGGAGGGTTAATAATGGCGGAAGATGACACGAGGCGAAGTGCATTTGCAGGGCCTATCAGACGGCTCCCCGCGCGGGATCTTCATTATGCACCCCTGCCCATCCTTAGAATACGAAGACAAAGTCCATATCACAATGCAGGAACTTCTGGTGACACCGTCTCAACCATGTTATTTCTTGCCTACGGCCTGTTGTCATCGTACCTTGGTAATGGATGAATATGCATATGAGCAAAGTTCAAGCAGGAAGTATGGGTGCAATGGCCGAAAATTCCCTCAATAAGACCCCTGGTTGTGAGGAGAAACGAGAAGTCACCAGATACATGCATTATCCACGAGTTGCTGACCTCAGCATCATCAAGTTCTCTTCGTGCAACTGCTGCTTTAGAATACGTAGGAGCTAGACGAAGACTTGACGAAAAGGTATCTTTATCTAACAAAATTTAATAAGAATTACCAAAATGGTGGGTATCTGATTGCTAACATAGAATTCATTCATGCACTAGGACATGGAAGAAAAAATCACCAATATTTTTCAAACTTGCTGGCTCATCTTTGCTGTCTCTACGACCGAGGCACTGTCAGCTGCCCGGAGATCAGAATCAATCACTAAAGTCACGAGTGACTGAACGAGACATGTATTTGAAGAGAGAAGGCAAGATCAGCCCACCTCAAGGTACACTAAGCACTTAGAATGCCGTCTGCGTTTCTAAAACTCGTATCACACGATCCTGCCAATGACATGGAACCGCCGGACAGCACCTAAGACTTCCACTAACCTATTCTTACCTGTATTGTACTCTCATCATCGCCGACAAGGTTCCAGTTTTATCTACGCCTGATATTTCAGGATTTTTGCTTGAATAAAGTCCAATAAGAAAAGCCTCTGGGTCCACACTTCGTCTATTCTAGCTTGCCGCCGACTCTTACTTGGTTGGCATCGATATTGGAAATGGCCTGACTGAGATCCAGTTGAGTTCTCATAAAGACACAAGTACGGAGGGCCAAATTAGATAATACACAGCTGCAATCCAGAAAGCGGCCGGTGGCGTCTCCTCATTTGCGTCCTAGGGGGTCAGACAAGGCAGAAGCATCCCCCAGAATTTGGCATGCTGGGTTATCATTCATCGTCAGAATATTTTTGCTATTCGCTATATACCGGAGTACTTTAATTCGAGAACTCTTATGACCTGCTAGAGTCTGGATCTGGGAAGTGATATTGGAAAAGATTTAATTTCTCCATTCAAGTAGCCCATAAACAACTCTAAATCCATCCTTCGTACATTACATTTCATCATGCTCGTAGGCTCAAAACTTTGATTGAGGGCCCTTTCTTTTCAATGTCTTCGGCTCATAATCGCCTCCAGCGGGAAGTGCCAGCTGCTGAATTGTTCCTTTCCGTCCATTTCTCACATCGGCAGCCAGTCTTTCAAAGTACTTCTCTGATTCCTTCTCAATATCATACTCCAGAACCCACTCAGGCCGAGGAAGTGCCAGAATATGCGGGTTTTCCCGAATAAAATCACCATCCCAGTCGACATTATGATAGCCATCTCGCACCGCAATGGAAGCCATGTGAGTGACATGGGAGCGGTTGAATCTGATTCTTTCAAACACCCGTAGTCCGAGAGCAACGTCGCCCTGGCTGCGGTCCAAGGCAATGGCCAAGGCAACACCATCTTCCATGGCTTGGGATCCGCCTTGAGCAGAAGTCGGAAGGTGACAGTGAGCGGCATCCCCAATCAGCGCAATATGAGCTGAGGGGCTGAGCCAGGTGTCCAGAGGATCACGCCACACAAGCTTATAATCGACGATGTTCTTCTCGGGAGTTGCGTTGACAACTTCAAAGAGACGCTCCTCGAACTCGCCCTGGGTCAAACAGTCCAAGACGTCTTGCTTACGACCTGGGAAAGACCACGACTCACCAATATCTTCCGTGTCCTACAAGAGACATACCAGGTTAGTACTACGGCTTGGAAATAGTTCACGTATCAACACCAACGCATACCTTGTGAGTGAGAACCCATCCGAGATCTTTTCCCTTGTTCCATGTGTAAATAATCATGTGAAGATCCTTTGTGGTCCACAGCATGGTTGTATCAGTAGTTGGGTCGCAGAATTGCCTCAACAAGGGATTTTTGGCGTGCTCCTCGGTGAGAGTGAAGTAAGCGCGGAAGATGGCATAGCCG